TGCACGTGTGCTACCCGCAGGTGGGCGAGCGTGTGCATACAGTGCCTGGTCCTGCACCGGCCAGAGGGGTTGCCCAGGGACCTCCCTCGAGAGGCGAGCTGTGTGCTGCTGATGGGCACACCTGATGACACAAGGGCCTCCCTCCTCTGCACACATGGGCAGGCGCATGGGGAGGGCACCTGGGGTGAGGCGGGGGCCCTGAGTGGGCGCAGGTCCCGCACACCGTAGGGATGTGGGAAAGTGAGGTCCATTCATGGCCCGAGATCCCAGTGCACATGCTGGGCCGGCGAGGGGAGGGGGGTACAAGGGCCCCTGCCGAGTACCCATGGAGGCCTGGGTGTGTGAGTGCCCTGCTGGGTGCCCAGCCGGGACCCTGGAGCCGCCCGCCCGGGCTGGCTGGCTCCTTGCGAAGCACGCCAAGGCCTCGCCGTGTGCCGGTGCCTGTGCGGGGTGCTGCCAAGGGTGCGTTGGCGGCATGTGTGAGTTTGAGTGTGTGTGCACGCGCGCGCGCGCGCGGAGGGTGTGTAGGAAGAGGCATTCGCTTCTTTCTGTGGTTTGGTTTCTATAGAGACACTTCCTGTGGCAGAGAAAAGAGGTAGTGAGCTGCTGTTCCAGGATGTGAGGGCCCGAAGGAGCTGCGCGGGACTCTCTCTGCCGCCCGCCTGCCCTGCAAGCTCCTGCCGCCGCCGCCGGCGCTGCCCACTGTCCCCATGGTGGGCGCCTCCCGCGGCGGGGACCCGTGATCAGCAGCGGCATGCCAGGGAAGCCCAAGCACCTGGGCGTCCCCAACGGGCGCATGGTGAGTGTGGGCTTCTGGCCAGGGCCAAGAGGAGGGGTAGGCACACCCAGGGCAGAGCCGTGGGGCCCAGCAAAGGAGAGAAGTTGGGGGCTGGCAGCGGGACTGATGCGATCACTCCAGGACCCTCCCAGGTGGTTCCCGGGGGACCTGGAACTCTGGGGGTCAGGGCAGGTCAGAGTGGGCAAGGCTTCTGGTCCAGCCCCTCCCGGCTCGCTCTTCTCTCTGCTTGAACAACTCCTCCCAGCCTGAGTGGTTCAAGCCCCCCAACACCTCCACCACCACCCCTCTCCCCAGGTCCCAGGGGCCCAAGGGTCACCTCACTGGGTCACTGTCCCACAGCTGCATTGGCTCCATCATCTTCCTCCACTACCTCTGGGCCCTTGGGCGGGCTGGTCAGCAGGGGCAGGCTGGGCTGCAGAATTGGTGCCACGTCTAAGTGCTCAGTCGTTCCAGGAAGGGGGTGGCACTGGGCACTAGCACAGCCTGGCCACACTGTCCCACCCCAGAACCCTCTCCCCATGCTGGGGCCACAGTCAGAAAGCCAGCTTCTGCGTTCAATTGGCAGAAAGGGTGGGCAGGGCTGGGCCTCCCCATCCCGAAGTCCCTAGCCCACTTCTGACCTTTCTCTACCTGGCTCCACTGGACCCTGACAGACCTGGCTTGAGTCCCAGCTCTCCTTCACTGGAAGTGGGGGTGGGAGGGGGACTAGGAAAAGTCCTCTTGGAGCCTCAGTTTCCTAGTCTGAAAAAAGGGGAGATTAGAGCAGCTCTCAAAGGCTTGTTGAGGTGATTAAGTGGATTGATGAACCTGAGGACTGGGACTCATTAGGGGGGTCTCCATACATGCCGGTCCTGTGCCCTCTGCCTTTCTCATGGGTCTCCCACCTCGAAGAAGCTGAGCCCCCTGCCCTCCCCCCCCCACCCGCCCCCTGCCTCCTAATTCCCAAGACCTACCCTCCTCTAGTTCTTCATCTCCCAGGCCAAGCCAACCCCCCAAAACTGACCCAGCCCCTCTCTTACCATCTCTCCTACCCACAGAAGTCTGAAAGCTCCAAGCACCCACCCTGCCCACCCCACAGCCCTGACTCAGCCTCCACGGCCTGCCCTCTCTTAAGCAGGTGTCCTTCCAGGGTTTCTCAGCCCTAGCCTTGTTCAGAGCAGGAGGGCACCTCAGTCTTGCCTGCTGAGCCCACAGACGCCCCTGCCCTCCCAGCAACCTTGGCAGATGTCTCAGTCTGGTCTCGAGGGCAGGGGCGTGAACTGAGAGACGCTTAGGGACCAAGTTTCTCCTGCCTTCCAGAAGTGACCCTTGAGGGAGACTCAGTGGAGTGAATGACACCCAAGGTCACCAGCCAGCAGAGGGGCCCACATTTGACCCCAATGGGGAGGACTCTCTTTCCAATGCTCTCCCACCTCCTGCACTGCCTGGCTGGGATGTTCTCCCCCCCCTCCCCGCCCCCTGTCACCTCCCCCCATCCCAACCCACAGCACTCCTTTTGCCTACCCTGCCTTTCTGCCACTCAGCTTGTCAGGCGGCTGCAATGAAACCTGTCACTTAGAGATGTCTCCACAGAGCCCCCACCGCCACTTGGCTGGTCTGTTTGTTCATTTATTTCACAGACTTTCCTCAGCACCTGCTCTATGAGGTTCCTCCCTAAGCCACTCAAGTCCCAGGCACAGGGCACCTGGACCCTGCCCACCAGCAGCCTCAGCGTAGCCAGGCGTGAAAGACAATAGAGTTAAACTGTCGCTTTGGGTAAGGCCCCCCAGCAGGCCTAGACAGAGCAGTGGTAAGCTGCGGAGGGAGAGAGATCTCTGCAGAAGGTAGTCCCAGCAGAGGCTGCAGCATGGCCTGAATATGCAGACACAGGGGTGGGGGTGGAGGGGTGGGGGAGGAGTGAAGCCGGAGTGAGCCCTAGAGAGGGAGAGGGGACAGATATCACACCTGTTGCTCTCAGGGGGCCTGTGTGTCTTCCCACTGGAGGAAAACAACTTCAAAAGGACCATTTGGCCCCTCTGGGTTCAGTTCCATGGGGCTGGCACAGGCCAGGCGGTTGGGGTCAGGCACCCAGGGTTCTGTGGGGCATCCCCAGAGAGGCTCCTGGAACCTCACTTTCCCCAAGTGACCAGCACAGAAGCTGCTCAGTAACTCAACTTCCCCCCACCCCCTTTGAGGCCTGACCCCTCCAGAAATCAGAGTTCAGTGTGCCCGTGAGCCCTTCACCCCATCTGTGCCCCAAGGGCGGAGGCCCTGTGGCATCCTACCTCCCCTGGTGCCTCTCTGCTCCACAGGCAGGCAGCTTGGATGATCAGGACCCCAGTCAGGCAAACTGGGCTCTAGGCACAGCTGTGTGACTCCTCTGGGCCTTGGTTTGGCCATCGGTCAAACAGGGCAGTGCCTGTCGCACAGGATAAGGGTATGTGTAGAGTGACGATATGGGTACATGCTGCCAAGGCTCGCCTGTGGCAGAGGTCAAAACCAAACTCAAACTTGCTGGCATCCAGTCACTGCCAACTCACAGTGCAGAGGAAAAACCCTGCCCCTGTGAGTTTCCAGGCTCTCGCTTTCTCTGGGAATAGAAAGTTTCGTCTTCCCTCAGAGTAGCTGGCAGTTTTGAACTGCTGACCTTGCTAGGAGCAGCCCAGTGCAGAACCCACTACACCATCAGGGCTCCTGAGAAGCTTGTCACATAGGTGGAGCTCAGGAAATGTAAGCTTACCTTTGGACTGTCAGATACCAACAGCTCGTCCTGGGCCCATTTCTGAAGGAAAGGTATGGAAAACAGAGGCCTGCCTATGGGGTCACAGGCCACCACACTCCCTCAACGCCTTCTCCTTTCTCCCATTCACTCACCACTTCTCCTCCTGCGGGCTGGGTAGGCTGGGCGAGGTCATCTCTGCCTGGCACAACTTCCCCAGGCTGGGCAGCGGCCAGTCAGAGCCTGGTCCCAGGCTGCCTGAACACTAACGTGTTCACACTCAGCCCCCATTCAATTTCATCCAACTTGGTCCCACCCAAGAGAATGGAAATCCCAAGCCCCATGCTAGCAGGGGGAAACTGAGGCTCAGAGGAGGGAAATCACTTTTCCTCAAGAGGAAGGCACTAGAATTGGACTCTTGCTTCACTTCCTCCCACCTTCAGATTCCTGTCCCTGCTCAGCCTCGGCCCCTGCTGTACGGAGCCAACTGGGCAGGAGGCTGAGCCTCCCTGCAATCCCTCCTGCAAGCCCATTCTACCGCCCAGGGTTACCAAACTGGCAGACAGAAAGGCTGGCCACTGGTGTGGGAAGGGGTCCCGGGGAGGACCGGTGTTGGGGATGCCTGGCTTTACCAACCAGTATCTGGGGGCTCTCTGGTGGGGGGAGGAGGAACAGATCTCCAGGCAGAGGAAAGAGCAAAGCAGGAAACTGGAGTGTGTAGGGGTATGTGTGCTGGGTGTGTGTGGGGGAGCGGGGGGTGTGGAATAGAAAAGTTGGATGAAGTGCAGGGTGGGAGCTGGAGGAACCCCAGGTAGGTGGAAGGGGTGCATGAGTCAAGCCCTGGGGGGAATTCAGGTTGCAAACTGGCCCCTCCAGGGCCTCCTAGGACAGCAGTGGGGCCAGATGGTGGCACAGCTGGGTGGAGTAGAGCCAGGCCCACCTGAGGACCGTCTGTTCAACATAATGTAAAAGGGCCAAACAAAATCTGGGGCCCCTGCTCCTCCTGCCCAGGGGGTAGAGTCTTGGAGGGCTCTGAGCCAGGCAGAGGAGGTACAGGAGGAGGGCAGGACCAAGCAGCCACCCCAGGGAAGGGGAGGCAGGCAGAGGAGGGAGCTTCCTGGATGTTGGGGGGGCCTACTCCCTGGGGTGGGGAACTGAGTGGTAGAATATACCTGGGCGGAGCCCACAGGAAAAGTAGGCGGGCAGGGGTGTGGCAGCACACTCCAGCCAGGAGGAGTGACAGTGCTGGTTGACTGTGCTCACTGCCCGGAAAGGTGTGGCCCAGCTGGAAGGAGCCCTGGGCAGGGTGGGGAAAGGCAGGGAGTGGGGTATGGAGTGACCCCCAAACCTCTGCATGTACTTTTTCTCCTCCTGAGCATCTTAACCTCTTGCTCCAGGCGGGGAGTTCTTCCCTGTAGAGAGGTTGCTGTTCAAGGCCAGCCAGGGTTGCCCCTTTACACTTCAACAAAGGTTTTCACCACAATACTTAAACAGAATCAACTCATCGGCCTCGATTCTTCAGTTTTGACTCATGTCAGGACTGTGCTCCCAAGAGCTTTTGAATGGCTGCTCTTTTGGAAGTGGATCACCAGGCCTTTCTCTCGAGGTACCTCTGGTGGACTCTAATCTCCAATCTTTCGGTTAGCAGCCACGCACATGAACTATTTTCATTACCCAGGGTCTCTAAAATCCTCCACCTGCGAGTTAGATCCCACCTACAGATGATTGCTTTGTAAGCTGGGTGCTCCCAGGGTGCTATGGAAGTGGGGAGCTGAGAGTGCAGCAGAGAGGGAGGGAGGGAGCGACTTCCTGGAGGGGAGGGGATGTTTTGCAGGGCTGTTTCCAGAGGCACTGGAAAGAATGGGGCAGGTGGTAGAAAGCTCCCAGAGGCAGGGCCAAGTGAAAAAACGTAGGCGGTGAGAGGGAGGGAGGAACTGGGGATGACTCAAGCCCTGGAGTTGGGATCCCAGGTGAGGGGAAGAAAGGCTACAGAGAGGCAGCTTTGGCCTTCTGTATTTACCAGGGCAGAGGGCAGGTTCTGCGAAGGACTACGGAGTTTGAGGGACTTCGGGAACCATTTGTGGGGAGACACTTAAAGGAAGTTGGCTATGTGTGTCTGGATGTATGTCTGGAGCTGGGAGTCTGTGGGTGGGAGCAAGGGCTGGGCAGAGCCAGGTAGAGATAGAAGCTGCTCTGAGCAAACATTAAGGAGCTGCCGGGGAGGTGCCCACTGAAGGAGTCATTTTGAGAGGAGCTTCTCTATTTCACTAGGGCTGGGGAGCCAGGGGGCAGAGTGCTGGATTCCCAGAGGCACCTGAACTGTGCTCTGGGATCTGGAGGGGGAGGCTTGATGGAGTGGATCTCTACAGTGCTGTTCACAGGGTGGTCCACGGGCTGGCAGCAGCAGCATCACTGGGAAGCTTGTTAGAAAGGAAGACCTTCTGAACCTGTATCTGTGCAGGTGGGGTCCCCAGGTTTGAGAACCACATCAGGTTGAGAACCACTCCTCTATACTGGAGTCCCAGCAGCTTGTGGGGCGGACTTGTGGGTGACCAAGAGTGCCAAGAAAAAAACAGCTGCAATGGAGATGCAAAGGAGATCCTGGGCTATGAAGACACTTCTGCCTCCTCACAAACAATGATGCAACCCTTCCCACATGCTGGCCTCTGGTAGACTCACTGATCCTCACTCACCACAGCCCCCCAAGGGGGTTCCTATGATTAGCATCAGCTCCTGTTTATAGATGGAGAAACAGAAAAGGGATTAAGGAACTCACCCAAAGTTACCCAGCTAGTCTGGTGCCAGAGACAGGATTAAAAGTGGGCCATACTACCACCATGCTCTACAGCTGGGCCCACCCAAGAGTGAGGGGCTAAATCCTAGCCCAAGTGCATAGCACTTGTGTGGCCGGGGTGCCCAGGCAGGGGGTGGGGCACAGCCCAGCTCCTGGCTGTACCTCTGACTTTGCACCTGGGGTCTCTTTTAGGTTCTCGCAGTCTCCGATGGAGGTGAGTGACAGTCCGTGGGACGCCAGACGGGGTCAGGGCTGGGGCACCCCTGCCACATGCTGTCTTTCTAAGTACTGAACAGGGAGAGTGGATGGGACTGGGCAAGGGCGGGTGGGTGGCAGAAGCTGACTCCTCCTTATCCTTCCCTGGCAGAGCTGAGCAATGTGGCCGGGCCCCAGGACCAGGGCCGGGGCAGCTCCCTCAGCATCCACAGCCTCCCCAGTGGTCCCAGCAGCCCCTTCCCCACCGAAGAGCAGCCTGTGGCCAGCTGGTCTTTGTCCTTCGAGCGGCTGCTACAGGATCCATTGGGCCTGGCTTACTTCACTGTAAGCCCTAGGGTGGGGTTGGGTTGGGTGGGGTGGAGTGGGCAGATGGCAGTGGCCCAAGGATGGGGCGGGGCACGAAGAGGGCAGACATGGAGCTGCTGCTGGCTGGCCCCGGTGGGCCTCCTTTGTTTCGCGCCCAGCTAGCCTTCTTGGACTCCATGGTGTTCCTTTTCTCCCTTCAGAGAACTTTCCTCCTTCCTGCTGTCTAACCACCCTCGCCCCCACCTCTCATTTCTCCCTGCTCCTTGGGGGCCGCACGTGTGGGTCAGTTTGGCTCAGCCCCTTGGTGGTGTTTCTGTCCCAGTCTCTGAACACACCCCCTGACTAGGTGTCTGGCTCTCCCTACCTCCTCCTACCTCCCCAGGAGTTTCTGAAGAAGGAGTTCAGCGCCGAGAACTTGACTTTCTGGAGGGCCTGCGAGAGCTTCCAACAGATTCCAGCCAGCGACAAGCAGCAGGTGGGGGGCAGGGAGGGACTGGAGCACGAGGTGGGGACTAGGGCTTGGGCTGCCCCCTGACCGTCTCCTCCGGTCCCTGCTCCCCAGCTAGCTCAGGAAGCCCACCGCATCTACCAGGAGTTCCTATCCAGCCAGGCGCTGAGCCCCGTGAACATCGACCGGCAGGCGTGGCTGGGTGAGGAGGTGCTGGCACAGCCCAGGCCAGACATGTTTCGGGCGCCGCAGCTTCAGGTGCGCAGGCCCAGTGGATGGGGAGGGGGCGACGACAGCAGAGGCGGGCTCAGAGCCGAGCAGGGCGGACGCAGGAAGCCTGGCGCGCCGTGCAGTATGCGCCGGGCCGCTATCCGAAAGGTGGCAGTCCAAACCCACCCGTCGCTCGGTTGGGGACGGACGGACGCGGCGGCCGGCTCCGGGGACGCTTTGCAGCTCAGAAAGCCTTCGTGCTTCGGCACCGACTGCCGGCAGTGGGTTGGAAGAAACCGTTTCAGAAGCCCACAGAGGCAGATAGATCTACCCTGTCCGGTACGGTCACCAGGAATGAGGGTTCTATTTTTATTTTATATACTTTATTTTAATGCTGGTGCGGCGTTAAGCCGCTCGGCCGCTCAAAGGAAAGCTGACGGCTTGCTCCCCCAGCTGCTCCACTGGGAGAATGGCAGCGATCGGTTTTGATAAACACGAACAACAGAGGAAGTCCAATGGGGCCACTTGTACTGTGGCCTGCAGGACGGGTCACCGTGAGTGGGCACTGACTCCGCGACGATGGCTCATCCATGGAGCCTAGTAAGGCGCAGGGGAGAACAGCCGGTGATTGGCGAGTGGCTGGTCCCAACCTTTGCACCGCTCCGCGGGGTAAAGATGTGGCAGTTCTTCAAGACGGACAGCTTTGGAAACCCTACGGGGCAGTTAGTCCCACTCTGTCCTGTGGGGTCGCTATGAATGTGAACCGGCACTTAGCAACGGGGTTGACTTTGGGGTACAGAGCTTATTGCGAAACACGCTCCTGGATTAGAGGACCTTACGAGGAGGGGCTTTGGGGAAGGACGGGCTAGGGGGGGAGGCGGAGTCGCTGGGGTAGGGGCGGGACTGAGATCCGGAGGGGGCGGTCCTGGGCGTGGAAGGGGTGGGGCTTCAGGAACTGCCGAGGGAACTGGCTAGGGACACAACACCTAGCGTGGGGGTCCTAGGTCGGGGCCCACCCCGAGAGCAGGGCCCCTCCCCCGCCACGTCCCGGCTCTCGCCCCGCAGATCTTCAACTTGATGAAGTTCGACAGCTACGCGCGCTTCGTCAAGTCCCCGCTGTACCGCGAGTGCCTTCTGGCCGAGGCCGAGGGCCGCCCGCTGCGGGAACCCGGCTCCTCCCGCCTGGGCAGCCCCGACGCCACGAGGAAGGTGCGGGCGGAGGTGCCGTGGGAGACCGGGAGCTGGCAGACTGTACGCAGGAGGGGACGCCCCGGGTGCAGATCTGCTGGGGTGCGCCCGAAGTCTGCCCGGGGCTAGGGCCCCTCCCATGCCGGCGCTTTCCTGTGCCCGCAGAAGCCGAAGCTGAAGCCCGGGAAGTCACTGCCGCTGGGCGTGGAGGAGCTGGGGCAGCTGCCGCTGGCTGAGGGTCCTGGGGGCCGCCCGCTCCGCAAGTCCTTCCGCAGGGGTGAGGGGGTGAGGGCTGCCGCAGAGAGGTGGCTGGGGTGGAGTGGTAGCAGATGGGGCAGGCCTTAGAAATGCCCCCTCCCCCCTATGTGGGTCCCTGTGACCACCATGCACCCCCCCCTCCCGTGGTTCGGATCGCAGGGTAGACCTCAGAGTTTGGGAAACCCTGGAGGTAGCAATGCTTACAGGGACCCAAACTGCATTGGAAGCCTTGCAAGAGGGTGCCAATAAGGCCCTAGAACCGCCAGGGAGAGGCCTGGGCAGAGCAGGCGGGTGTGTGTGTACCATTCATGGTTCCCCCTCCCTCAGAGCTGGCTGGTGGGGCTGCACATCTGCGCCGCGAGTCTCAGGGGTCCCTGAACTCCTCTGCCAGCCTGGACCTCGGCTTTCTCGCTTTTGTCAGCAGCAAGTCAGAGGTGAGCCAGCTGAGGGGCAGACGAGCCCACCACTAGGGCCACCACCATTCCCAGTCAAAGGCCCCCTGCCATCTCCTGGCTTGCTCCAGCCCACCCAATTCCTCAGCCGCCCCACCCCCACCCCTCATCACATTGAGTCCTGTCTGCCCATGTGTGGGTCCCCTGGGCGGTTTCATCTGCCTAGGTGGACACAGAGCATGTGTGTGTGTGTGTATGTGTGTGTGTACCTGTCTCCAGGGCTCACACGTATACTGGGGTATATGTTCATGCAAATGTGCTTGTAGCAGACTGTAAGCACACGTGTTCCCTTGGGTGTGTGCTCGCCCCGTGAGCATGCCTGCTTTGAACTATCTGCACACCTTTGTGTGTGCACACATACCCTCCCCTCACTTCTGTCCAGAACCAGAGCCACCGGAAGAGCCTGGGGAGTGCAGAGGGTGAGAGTGAAGGGCAAGGGCGTCCAGGGAAGTACTGCTGCGTGTACTTGCCTGATGGAACAGCCTCCTTGGCCCTGGCTCGCCCTGGCCTCACCATCCGGGACATGCTGGCAGGCATCTGTGAGAAACGAGGTCTCTCTCTCTCTGACATTAAGGTCTACCTGGTGGGCAAAGATCAGGTAAGAACCTGGCCTGCCCCTCAACTCTGCCCCCCCTCCCACACACACACAAGTCCCACCCACTGGTCTTGTCTCTGCCCAGCCATGATCTCAACCCCACTCAATCTCTAAGCTCTGGAGCAAACCCCATTCCCACCCTACTCCTGAGCATCACCCCCTTCCTTTCCAGCCTCCCACTCCCATGCCCATCTCAAACCAACCCCAGCACCAACTCCCCACTCAAACTAAAACATCTCACCCTAGCAAAAATTCCATCCTCTACTCCATACCCCTGTGCTCCAATTTCTTCCATCATCCACACCGGGATAGTCTCAGGGAGACTATGAAATGGGCATTTGAAGAGTCCTTACCACCTCTGCCATCAAGAACACCCAGCCTGACTTCATCCATGCAAAACATTCCCTTAGGTGCAAACTAGCATTAAGCGTTAAAGAGTAGTCCAGGGAAAAACAAAAACAAACAACACTTGAAGCAAAGCCATTCAGTGTGTGTGTGTGGATGGGGGTGGGGCAGAATTTAAAGGAAGAAGGCTACATTCATTCCAAGGGCACTGTCAGGATTTCGTTCACCTAGGAAATGGGCCCCAAGGTCCTGCCCAGGTGGCTAGGCAGATACAGGGACTTAGGCACTGCCCGCCAGGCTTGCAGACTGGGAGTGAGTCAGGCAGGGTGACATGTGGACCAGAATCAAACCTGCAGAGAAAGTGTCTGAGAGGGCAGCAGATATTATTCCTGGCTGGTGTGGGAAGGCTTCATGAAGGAACGTAGCAGGTGGTGAGACTGGGGAAGTTTCCCGGCACAGAAGTGGGGGCAGGGCATTCCAGACAGAGGACACTGATTAAGAAAGGCCTGGAGATGGGTAAATGCAGGACACGTTAGAGGCTTAGCGTGCGGGGGTGTGAGGGCAGTAATGAAGAGGAGTCTGCCCACATTCAGGCTGCCAGGGCAGCCGCCAGCAGCCCAGATGGGGCTTCATGTCCGGTTAAATATAACTTCACACCCACCACACTCCACATGTCCCTGTAGCACAGACAGGCCCGGTGCCAGAGAGAGGCTGGCCCAGCCACCCCCAGCCCCTGGACTGGTGCAGGCACATGGGGCCTCGGGAGTGGAAATCGTTAGTTACTATTTATGTGTGTACCTACTGGGTGCCGGGTACCATGCAGGTGACTGTCTCCTGCTGGCCCCTGGGTAGCTGAAATGGTACGCACTTAACAGCAAACCCAATGCTTAGTGGTTCACATCCTCCCAGGAGCCCTGGTGGTGTAGTGGCTATGCGTTGGGTTGCGATCAGAAAAGTCAACAGGAGATCATCGGGAGAAAGACCTGGCTTTCCACTCCTGTAAACAGTTGCAGGCTCTGAAACTCACGGGCCAGTTCTACCCTGTCCTCTAGGGTCACTCTGAATCTGCACCAACTCGATGGCAGTGAGTGAGTTTGAATTCTCCCAGCAGTGCCATGGAAGAGAAGTCTGGCATCCTGCTTCCACAAGGTCACAGGCACTGAGACCCTCACAGAGCCCAGTTCCACTCTGAAGCACTTGGGGTGGTGCTAGGTTTGGTTCCTTTGGGGAGGTGGGCTCACAGTGTCCTGGGGGCCGAGCTTTGGTGCCCTGTTTTTCAGTGAGGAGTTGAGAGGTGTCCCCAGTCATGGTGAATGAGAGAGCAGACAGGTGTCAAAAGAGGGACAAGGCCTGGGGAGGGTGTTCAAAGGTTCAGAAGGAAATACGTGCAGCTGGACTGACTGCAGTGGAGATGCCTGAGAGACAAGGGGACAGCTGTCCTGGAGGGAGAGTCAGTGCTGGCTCAGAAGGGGTGAACTCCATGACCAAGCCCCTTGACCACGTCTCCCTCCCCACCTGTTTCCAATAACTCCTGCCCTTGCCCAAGCCCTCTGCACCATTCTAGCCACCCTTTTCTCATGGCCCTAGGCTCCTAGGCCAACCTGGTCGGACCCCATCTGCACCCCTACCGCTCCCCTAATGAACTGTAACGGTGGGGGTGGGGGACATAGCAACTGTGGCAGGGGGTGACCATGGCGGCCTGACTCTGTGATGGATCAGGGTGGGAAGAGACTGTGACCTTGTTTGGGGTCCACAGAAGGCCCTGATCCTAGATCAGGACTGCACCGTGTTGGCGGACCAGGAAGTACGGCTGGAGAACAGGATCACTTTCGAGTGAGTGCCCACCCTATAGCTTGGGGGCTCAGGTCGGTCCCATCAACCTCCTGCCCTCAGGCCCTGCCCCCTGGGATAGCCCCACCTCTGATCCGAGGCCACATCCTCATGCAGTCCCACCCCCCAGTTCAGGCTCCGTCTTCTCTAGGCTTGCTGTGGGTGGTTTGGGGGACTGGGGCGGGGTGGCGGGGAAGGACGGCCGGCTTTCCGCCTCCCGGGCTCCGCGCAGGCTGGAGGTGACCGCGCTGGAGAGGGTGGTGCGAATCTCCGCCAAGCCCACCAAGCGGCTGCAGGAGGCGCTGCAGCCCATCCTGGCGAAGCACGGCCTGAGCCTGCAGCAGGTGACACTGCACCGGGTAAGCCGCAGGGGCGCTGGCGGGAACCGGGCGGTGCGGGGCCAGGCGGGCTGCCCCGCGGGCTGCTGACCTGTCCCGCAGCCTGGCGAGAAGCAACCTCTGGATCTGGAGAAGCTAGTGAGCTCCGTGGCGGCCCAAAGACTGGTTTTGGACACTCCTCCAGGTAGGAGACCTTGAGCCCCCAAAGACCCGCGGCCTCTAGGAACCGCGCAGGCGGCAAACCAAAAACAGTCTCCGCTCTCCGCCACAGGTACTAAGATCACCAATGCCGGTGACCTGTCCCCCCACCGCAGCCAGGTGAGCCGGAGGAGGGTGCCCTGTCCTCTTCCACCCACTGTGACGCCTCTCCTGGCTATGACTGACCCCGTTTTCTCGCAGAAAACCACCTTGCTCAGGACCCAGGACAGGGCCGCTCACTCCCTTCCACTCCCCCCCAACTCGCTGGCCGAGCTGGCTAAGAAGCGGCAGACTTGTGACATCGAAGGTACGTTGGGGATGGCGAGGCCAGGGGCTCAGAGGGGCCAGGGCGGTGGTGTTGGGGGCTCTAGAGTGTGTCATGAGGGAGGCTTGAACTGGGCAGGGGGCAGAGAGACCCAAGGGGCCGGGCCGAGAACAGGGGCTGTTGGCGCTGGGGTCTGGGAGGCTGTGGTCCCAGTAGGGAAGCTGGAGTCTGGTAGCCCCTGACTCTGGGAACCCCCTCAGGCCTGGTAGAGCTACTAAACCGGGTACAGAGCAGCGGGGCCCACGACCAGAGGGGCCTTCTTCGCAAAGAGGACCTAGTGCTTCCAGAATTTCTGCAGCTGCCTCCCCAAGGGCCCAGCGCCCAGGAAGCACCCCCACAGATGGACTCAGAGGCCTCGTCCAGGGGAGGCCACTTGGACTCGGCCCTCTGACAGCTACCCGCAGTCCTGGCTGGCTGCATGGCACCTGAGGAAGCATGCCGCAGTTCCCTCTGCATGCCCTGTCTGTGCCACAAGTGCCCCTGTCCCCTTTTCATGGGCAGGACCCATGGGGAAGTGGAAAAGGGTGGAGAGGGGGCTCCGGAGAGCCACACCCCACAGCTACCCTCCCCTAGCCCCTCACAGGCATGTCCACTGTCCCCTTGCATCTAACCCCCTGCGGGGAGAGGTGGGCCCAATCCAGAGAGACATTGTTGGCAATGCCAGCCCCCCTCCCCTCTGCTAGCGCTCAGTGGGGGGAGGGAGGACCCCTCCTCAGGGAGCTGGTCTGAGTCCAGGTTGGGGGTGCAGATGGGTACAGATGGGACTGTCTGTATTTTGCAGTTGGCTTTGGGGCAGCTGGGTATGTCCTGGATGTATGATACTGTTATTATAATAACTATTATTATTCTGTCATGAGGTGTGTTCCTTATGTGTCTCCCTGCCCGGTGGGCTCAGCCCCCCCGTTCCCCGCCCCTACACCCCCTACAAATCACACTGCCCCTGTCACACACCAAAATCAGGAAGCTCTTGGGGCACTCAGGATGTGCCTCCTGACTTCCTGTTGTCAGAAGCCCTGTTTGATTGCACAGTGTGTGTGTGTAAAAGAAACAGCAAAAGGGAGGGAGGGGAGCAACCTAGGGGGAACCCCGGTGGCAGGTGTGGTTCTGTCCTGCAGCCCCTATGCGTCTCTGTATATCGTCTGGCCTGTGTCCTCCTCGTCTTGGTGGACCTATAGCTGGAGGCTGAGTGTCTGGAGCTTGACTGGTGACCCCTTCGGATGCACTGGAAGCCAGTGTGGGAGATGCTGGCTGCTGTGGGGGCAGAGGGCAGAGCCTGACCCTGCTCTGCTTCGACTGGAAGATCTTTTCTGTCCCAGGCAACCAGGCAAGCTTGGACACCCCACAGCCACTGTCTGCAGATGGGCTTGGGGAGGCCAGACTCAAGTAGTCCCAGTCCACAGAGGGACTGGGGGCAAGGAGACACAGGCACTAGACAAGGCACCTGAGGGTGAGGGCCTCTCTGGGAGCCACAGCCCGTCCAGCTCTCTTCCCACACCTCATCTGTACACCTGTTGTTTCCCTTACCTGCCCCATAACGTGTGTGGTTCCTCTTGTCCTTGGACCCCAGGGAGGAACAGCGGTTTGCACTGGTCATTCACTCTTCTCTCCAGAGAACCATGCCTGTCTTGGGGAGCTTCAACCCTCTGCTCCCCTGGGCTTCCTTTCTTTGGCTAGGTTGACCCCAGCCCCTGGTTGCTGCTCCTGGGCCCAGCCTATCAGAATACTCCCTTCCCCTGGCCTCAGTTTGGTTCAGAGATGAATGGTCCATTGGCCCAAGTGGAATCTCAATCCTGGTCCTTCTCTCCCGTCTCTGAGGCTGGCGAGTTTATAGGAAGCCCTGTGGGCAGAGAGCGGGAACGTGAAGGACATCAGCACAGGCAAGGAGAGCTGAGATGGAAAGTGATTTCAGACGAAATTCTCTGACTGCCTCGATGCAGCCATGCAAGAACGCTTAGGCGTCCTCCTGAAGCAAGCCAGCGTGCTCTGTTTGTGTTTGTGTGTACACTTGTTTCTCTGAGTTCAACGTCTCAGTCCTGCAACCACAAAACCGCCAATTGCCACTGACTGTGACTCTTGGCAACCGCATGGACCAGAGGCGAGCTGTGCTCCACAGGGCTTTCAGTGACTGTTTTTGTTGCTCTAAGAATAGCACGCCAAACTTTTCTTCTGAGGCACCTCCGGGTGGAATTGAACTGCCAACCTTTCAGCCGCCAAACAAGTTGCTTACACCACCCAGGGACTCCTGGAACCATAGGAATCTATGGTCAGCTTGTGACCAGGAAAGGGGCTGGGGGCGATGAACCCCGTCGGCTGCAGCATTTCCCTCAAACCGCCGTGGACCTGGGCCTTCTCCCTTGTGGGAGGGACACCCTTCCATGCAGCTCAGGAGAGACAAGTGAGAGATGGGATGTTTCTTCCCCTTCTCCCAGCCCTGCACCTCTGCTGGTCCAGCCATGATACTTGTTGTGCCTAGGGTCCCCCTACGCCATGGGAGAGAGGGCCATGGGTCAGGTAGAAACATCCTCCCAAAGGCCAGCCCCTGCAAGGGGTTCAGCTCAAATTAAACCAGCTCCGTGCTTAATCTCCTTGTCCTTGACAGAAAACAGGCAGCTGGGGATGAAACCAAGGCTGCGGGAGGGGATGTGACCAGCCCAGCATCCTGCCTGCCACCAAGGCACACACACCCCAGGGAGGGCCGCACCGCAGAAGTCCCTGATGTGTGTTTGTCCAAGTTGACTAGAGAATCAAATTCATCGACACTCATATATGTGTAAGAGAAAACTTTATATCAAAGAATAATTGTATATTAAGAAAACATCCCAGCCCAGTCCAGATCAAGTCCATAAGTCCAATATTAGCTCACATGTCCGATACCAGTCTGTAAATTCCTCTTCAGACTATGCAACACATGCAATGACGCCGAATGCAGGAAGATCACAGGCCAGTGGGTGGAAAGTCTTGTGGATTCAGTGATGGTAGAACCATCTCAGCTCTGGCGTGCATCTCCGCATGGCTCCTCCAGCTCCAGGGCTCTGTCTCTGTCAGCATAGCTCCATGAACCAACAGGAATGGTTCACAGGGAATGTGTGTCTGGCCACCAGTGAGCTAGCTTCCTCCATAGCGCCTCCAAATGAGGCCATCAAGCTGCCCCCTGATTGACAGATCCCTTCACTCTGAATAGTCTGAAGTTGACAGCAGATTATGTAACTACCACCCGGAGGCAGCCCTCTTGTCAGTAGATATATTGCTATGGCTACTCTGAAGGGCAGCTTGGGCATTCCTATTAAAGGTAAAGACTCATAGCCCATGACCTCAGCAGTCCGCTAGAGAACCTCAACCCCACCCCATCCCAGGAGCAAGGAGGCCCATCCCTGCGACATTGCCTAACCCCGAACCTGCAGGCAGTCAAATGTGGACAGGACAGTGAGGAGCGGGAGAGCCAACATGCTCCCAAGGCAGGCTGCCCAAGGCCTGGTACAGTACATGCTGATGAGGAGAACTTGCTAAGATATGTGAGTGCTCAGTAAAGTACAACGGAGCAGTGCAGGAGGCATGATACCCGTGTATAGAAACCATTCCCACAAACAGACAAGTGTACAAGCAGGGAAAAGAATGTTCTAAAAGGGCACATGCCGCCAACCATAGCGGTTATTTCTGGGAGATGGGAGGGGCACTGGACTGGGGGTAGTGATCAAATTCTTTAATTTCTTAAATGGATACAATTAGAAATAATAATAATAAGGACCCTTCTTTGTCATTACAGATGACAAAGATACTGTGCCTGTCCTCCATCCCCTCCCCCTCCTACCACCACCACATACACACACATCCTGGTGCAGCTCTAGGCTGAAGGAAACCAGCTTCCCTCCTCCATGTTTCTACTCCCTTGGCCCTCATGGTCCCAACCTGGCCAGGCCCCATGCAGGGACTGAGGACCAGACATGGGAACAGGGCCACGAGTCAGCAGCCCAGGCCACACTGGAGGCTGGCTCTGTGCCCCAGCACTCAGAGATCAGCAAAGGAGATGGTGAGCTTGTGGACCACTCTGTCCCCTCACCACACCCCCACTGTACAGAGGACACAGGACTGAGACGAGGACAGTGATGTCCTCGAGAATGCTCATAAACCCAGCCTGGCTAGTCCCCCAGAGGGACACAGGAGAATGAAGGCAACTCCACCGGAGGGTGGGCCCCCTGTTCCTTCCCTGCTGCTGAGGGCTGAAGGAACTCAGGCCCCAGATCCAAGAGAGAATCTTGCCACATGTCTCCTGTCACCCGCCCCAAGCCTGGATGGCCCCTGGACCGGGGGAGGGGAGGGTACAGAATGCACACAGCTCATGCAGTGACCTCGACTCTGGGCCAAGGCAGCTCACAGGCGGCTCACCAGGAGCCCCAGCTGCAATGCTGACGACCCCATGGGCCGGGGGCATCCTGGGCACAGCCACCCCTGTCCCTGAGGGTGAGCACACTGCACACCCTACAGCAGGCCTGGCCCAGTAGTCAGGTGACACCAGCCTCTGAGGGTGTGTGGAGGCAAGAATTCAACTTCTACGAGGAAACAGGTGGGAGGAACACACCCAGCTGGCGATATTGAATCAACGGCTCAGGTGCAGCCCAGAGGGGTCCCTAGGTAGGGGCACTGTGTGATCTTAGTGCCTGTCACCTGAGAAGTGGCTGGGGTTTACAGCAGAGGCGGAAAGGTAGGAAGAGCAGTCTGAGAACCAGGTGGGATGGTGGGTGGAAAGGTGACCCCACTAGCCGAGGCAACCATCTTGTTCTGCTGCTGCTAGGAGGCTTAGGAACTCAGAGCTGAGACCCAGAGGCAGGGGCCTGGAAGGAAAAACTAGAGATTGGCACTCAGGGCCAAGTGTTATCATCAGGAATCTGAACCCTAAAGCTGGTGTTTGAAGCCCAGAACCCAGAATCCAGAGCCTGAGGTCCAGAGCTTGGAATCTGGAATTGGAGTCTGGAACCCAGACTCAGAATCGAAAGCCCAGACCCAAGACCAGAAAGTTGGCACGTGAAACCTGAAACGGGAGCCTAGGAGCTAGAAATCAAAGCCAGGAGCCCAGAACCCAAGGATTTGAGCGCGGACCTTTAGTGCAAAGCGTTTGGAGCTCCCAGCTAGAGGCGTGGGCATCTCGGAGCCCAGAGGCCCATGCCTAAACCAGCACCTGGATCCCTGGGCCTGAGCCCCTAGCCAGATCTCAGCACTTCAAACCTGCACCCTGGAAGGCAGAGCCAAGGAGCATGCAGCATGTCTCTGCCTGGTCCCTGAGGACAGCACGCAGGCCTGGGGCTAGAGCCTCACGGGAAAGGGAACCCCAGGGGAGAGGGGATTTCTGAGAAAAGCCCAAGGCAGCCTCAGCTATTTTGGCCACAGACTTTGGCCTCATCAGTAAATGAGTGACTAGTGCCTGGGCCACTGGGTTTAATAATTTCACAGGACACTTATCCCCAAACAGGGATGGGGCATCCTTGGGTCAGCCGAGCCTACCTTGGTTCACAGGATCTACTTCAGCCTTGGGTACTCCTATCTGGAAAGTGGGGCTTGGATTGGACAGTGTCCCAGGGGACTGCTCAATCTACTGGGACCCCAGACTGAAGTCCAGGATGAAGTTTAGGACCACCTGTGGAAGGGTGGCTCTGTTCTCCAGAGGGATGTGGCAGGTGGCCCCAACCATGCCAGTCCACTGGTAAGGACAGCAGCCTTGACCCCAGACAGAAGGAAGGATCCCTGGTGTGTGCTATGCACACTGGTGGCTGTGATTTTGGGCCAGGTGGAGTGCTGGGTGTCACCAGCGTGGTAACTCCTGGTGTCAGCCACCCCCTTGGCATCCAGCAGCAATGGAAA